AATATCTGTATGAATCGATTCCTACTCATGAGCTTCGCTGCGAACGACTCACTAAACACCTTTCTTGTCGACCAGTAATCTTTGAGGTTAGACCTGATTTCGAGTCCCATTTGGAAACAAATCGCCAAAAACTTCAGTAGTTCGCCCTCGTCGAGATTAATCCAGTTTGAGTACTTTGCGATAGCATAACGATTGGTTTCTCTTACAATCAAATCAACGAGATCGTCTGTGAAAAATCGCCGGAAAAATTGGATTGGGTACTGGTAAGATAGAACTTCCTCATCCAGTACACCACCGAAACCTTGAAAGTCAAAATTGTTCTGCCTGCTGATATCTGAAGTCCATTGAGTCGCTCCATCGTTATCTGAGCCTTCGTCGCTTGATTCACAATCGGACTCCTCACTCGAATGATCCACGCGGAAAACCATATCTTCTGGGGTATCAGGGCCTTGTTCCGTCACTTCTTCGTCACTTTCAATCAAAAGTTCATCAAACGACTTATTCAGCGCGTCCATCATGCCTATCTGGAACGGTTACCATAAATTAGGGGTGGTTTCCCAAAAAAATAACCTGGAGAAGCAAAAATGACGTACGTTGAGTTTATACTTCGCTGCGGGCGCGAGAAATACCGCTCTGCGTGGCCGCGTGCTGCACCATGTGCAGCACGCCGGCGAGGTTGCGAAATATGGCTCGGCCACAGGCGCCCGTTTTCGCGAAAACGCCGCGGTACGCAATGGGTTAAAAATGAGCTCGGTGCCAAAGTTGCTGGAGTCCAAACGGCATTAGCCCCCCAAGCGAACTGGGCAGTTGTGCAACATTTGCCGCCAACTTTTCCCTGTATTCACTGATTATGAAGCTCACATTAAAGACGGTTGCTGCTTAACTGATACACCTCCAGATCCTGTCCCTATCCATGTGAGTAAGCGTTATATTGAGATCTGCTGAGATATTTTGCGGTATTTTATGTTTTGCGAAAATATCACCACAAAATACAACGCCAGATGTGGTCTAGGTGATTCGAGTCGCGGACTGGTTCACAGTTAGTATACTAGTTAGCTAGTTGACTTCACATAACACTTGGCGTGAAATCAGTTAGGGAGATGGCAGGCCGCGTCCCAATCCATTCTTTTCGCGGCCCTGTCCCGAAAAGAAGGATCAGTTCGCTGTTGATCTGTCTCTGAGGGATGCGGCAGGTTTCTAATTCTATTTAGACTCGTAAGTGTACCTTTCGAAGAAGTAGCCCTTCGCCGTCTGCGCTTTAAACGTAGAGCATTGGTTAGGAGAAGGGACATAGGGGTGTTTTGGAGCCCCCCCCCTTGTTTTTTTAGACGTCAGCGCGGAAAAGTGGATATCCGCGCCGCGAAAAGTGGATATCATTTGTCACTAATTATCGAATCTTACTGTGGAAGAAAGTAATTCACTGACGAATTTCTCGAAATAAGGCCGTTAATTAAACGGTACAGACGTGGCAAGCCGAGGCAACTGATCAAAGTTCTATGCTGAGCCAACTAGCTAGAAATGCTTGATTGAGCGACGCGGCTCACACCTCCAACAGTGTAATGCTCTAGAGCGATTACAGGGTTTCTGTCAACCGGATGTTCCCTCGCTGCGAGGGTCCTGGGGTACTTGTTCACCGAATCTCGTGGCCGAGCATTTGAAGAGAACAATAACGATTTTTCAGTAGGGCGCAAGTGGCTCACAAAAGAATTTAGGCGTGAGGTTGAATGCATTGCGATAGTCGGCTGCGGACTCACACCATATTCGACGCGCTCTACCTGGAAAACAAACCCAATTTTCCAAGAACAGGCCGGATCTTAATCAACTTATTTTCTACGGGGACAGGTTTGACTGAGAGTTGGATTCTAGAGGTAATTCGACCTCCTGAACACGACATCACTCCCACTTGGCCTGACCAAGGGTATTTCATCACCAGCGCCAAAATACCCTAGGTCACTAAATCCGCTGAAAACTTGTAACAGTAAGACCGTTTAACATCTTGATTGCATATATCACATTCATTTTTGGGCGCTGGCGCTGAGAAGACGCTGTGATTGTCTGCGCTCTGGTATGGCTGGCCTGACTTGAAGGAAAACACTATTTCTCACACGCTCAGCCCTAGAAAGTGTTAAATGACGCTGGAGTGAATGTACCATACAATGCAAATTCACACCGAATTTGGTGGGAAAGGTGGCGGCGCCAAACTGGCGCCAATTGGGCGCCACCGAAACGAGTGCTATATTCGTGATTAGGACACTGAACTATTTCTATGGGGAGCCGACCCGGCATCTGAACCATGAACTGCTCGTGGTGAGCGTATCACTTGCAATTACACTTCCTCCGCCTCGTCTGAAAAATGCTATCAATAAATTGCCTTCTATTATAAACTGAATGTTATTGGCTAAACTGGTGCCATCTCGTATAGCGGGGGTGCCACTCCACAGCGCCTCTATATCCTTTCCCTTAGCCAAGGCTCAGGCTTAGAGCGCAAACGGAGGCCAGAGTCTTGTAGAGAGTGTCTGATTTGAAGGAGTAGCCCGTCACCGTCTACGCTTCAAAGTAAAGCATTGGTTGGAAGAAGGGACATGGCAATGTGGGGGGCCCTCCTATTAGAGGTCAGCGCGGAAAAGGGGATGGCTATGTGACACCGATTCTCGAATCTTACTGTGGAAGAAAGCAAATCACTGACAAATTCCTCGAAAGGCCACCAAGTAAACGGTACGGGTGGCAAGCCAAGGCAACGGATCAAAGTTCTGTGCTGAGTCAATTAGCTAGAAATGCTTGATTGAGCGAGCCTCCAAAAGTATAATGTTCTAGAGAGCGGTCACAATCTGTCAGCCGGATGTTCTTTCGCTGCGGGAGTACTGAGGTACTAGCTCACCGGATCTCGTAGCCGAGTATTTGAAGGGAGGGAAACAAGTAAGAAGGAAGGAGGGAAAAGAAATAAGAAAAGAGGAGGGGAAGGAAAGCACCGCAGTTGATACATATTCTGAGACACCCTAGAGCAGAATAAGAGCTCGTTCACACTTCGCTATCGAACAATTAGATCGCGCGATCGCGAAGTATGAGCGAGCTGTTACCGTGTGGATGCCGGAACGCTTCTAATTTTTCTTTTTCACAGATGTCCGACTTCCACTAAACTACGATCTCTCGCCTATACCTAAGTGTGAAACGGCTGCAAAATCACGGGTAATGATTTGTTCTTTGTGTCACGATGATCGATTTGCATCGGTGACAAAGTTTCATGAGCATATAATCGATTGTGCAAGAAAATTGGCTGCTTGTAGTGAGTACTGATTCTAACGTGTCTTTTTTCTTTTTGGGGGAGACGGCCAAGAGGATCGTAATTTGCCGCTCCGCCGCGCGCGGCGATGGGCGCGGCGTTTTCTTAACTCTTGTTAACCTGTCGATTGGAGCCCTGGACTTCATGTAGACCCCTTCATCGTAGACATTCATGGCTATTTTCAGTTCTGCACTTGCCTGTTGTCGCCATCTACTACCTGAAACGATCGTTATTTAGCGCAACGTCGCACGCGACGCCTACCAGCACGGCGAATAACGATCCTCTTGTCATATACCCAGTTTCTTGCTCACTTCTGTTTATACATATTATATATAAATTTATATAGACTACTGTACAGTAAAGTAGCAAGGAACAGATTAACAGCTTTGCTTTTTCATCGACCGTCTGCTCGATGCGTGGCGATAAGATTAGCCTGCATAGGTACAGAATCCACCATCACTTGCGCGTGGCTGCCAAATGTCTGTAAATAGATGAAGCTTTTTCGGGGGCACGTCCCGGACTCAAAAATGGAAAGTTGTGTGACTCAAACGCTCATAACCTGATTTAACGATATAGTAGTGAAGAAAAAAAACAGAGAAAACCATCCGAAAAGCCCATAAAGAAGCCCATGCAGCACCTCGCTTGCACGTGCACAAAGCGAAAAAAGGGCGTGGTCGGACGTATTTGTTGGTGCCAGCTCCCCTCTCCTTATCACCTCGCTTTCACCATTCGAGATCGAGCGAGTTAGTAGCGCAAAAGCGCACCATCGGCTAGGACCGAAAACTTGAAGGGTTCCGTCACTAATGGACGACGCATTTTCTCGCGTAATTTTGCAGTACGAACCATAACACAAACCGCAATATCATCACTTTCTCAATGATTTCAAGTTGTCAAGCGGCTCACCTCAAATTCTTTGTCGGCACCTGTTATTGAGGCCGCGATGCTGCCACACGTGTTGCGGTATCCGATTATTTCATCTTGCTCAGAGTAAATCGAAAAGATGTGGTGTCCTTCGTATCGTGGTCTGAATTGAGGGTAATAAGTGCTTTGTTAATTAGCTGATATCATCGCAGTTAGTCGGGGCGATGTCAGGAGGGGTGGAATATCACCCTAGACTGCCTTTTTTACCAATAGCGATTGGTCACTCGATCCAGGAAGAAAACAGCCACAGATAGTTATAGAAAACGCTTAGGCAGCGTTCAGACTTCGCGACGGCAGCGCTTCGGCCGCGCGTTCGGCGCGATCGATGCGCATACTTTCTACTGCATCGATCGCGTCGAACGTGCGATCCAAGCGCTGCCATCGCGAAGTCTGAACGCTGCCTTAGGGTAGGTCATCGCATGCCTCTTGATGCTCCCCGACTGTGACGATACCAGCGGTAGATTTCAGAAAATTCTAGAAAGATTTTCTCTTTTTTCCCAACAGAGGGTTTTCTTTTTTTTCTGAGAATCTTCAGCTATTTCCACTAGTATAGTGAAGCGGCCGACCGTACATTGCATTGATATCTTCTAGAAATTCGATGTACAGGTAAATCCATTGACCGGATTACAGAGCTCACCAATGGGCAGAAAACATAGATGTGCGCCACGATTCACACCTAAACGATACGTATTGATCCGTTTCACCTGTGAAAACTTAGTTTTACTGGCTGCGGATGATAAGGCGAGTCAGTAAGGCTGGGTTAGACCAAACCCGTTCTCCACAGTTGTTGAGGCAGGTAAGCGACAACACTTGATGGAAAAATTACTCATTCAAAAAATATGACACAGCCTTGTCGCTTGCCCGCTTTAAGAACTGATGGGAAAAAATGGTTATCGTTGCGCCAAACTCATCCTCCCTGCCCCGCCACCCTCATCCGCGGCGAACAAGGCTTTGGTAAAAAAAGACTGTAGTGAAGAGTCACCAGCTACTGAGACAAATGTGTCAACGAGAGCTGTTAGAGGTGGCCCGAGGTATTCTCCTGTGTCCACGCACTTTCCTCCAAGTATTGCCTGCAAATTTGGTCTTACATGTTTTATTCTTATATCTTGCATATTGGTAGCATCAGAGCGGTTCCTGCCGTTGGGGTGGAGGGGGGTTTTTTTGGAAAATAGGTACTGCTCTCTCTCTCTCTCTCTCTCTCTCTCTCTCTCTCTCTCTCTCTCTCTCTCTCTCTCTCTCTCTCTCTCTCTCTCTCTCTCTCTCTCTCTCTCTCAAGTTCATACGATTTTGGCCCTTTTTCCGCGTTTTTTCTACTTTTTCCAAAAAGTCTGCCAGCGAAAATGGGAGTCGCTGCCAAACAACTACTGAGTTTGAAATTTTTGAGAGAAATAGTTGTGAAGAGCTGTGGCGGCGCGACTAACTGTGGGGAGGCTAGAGGTTGGGAGGGAATTACAGGCCTTTTGATTATATTTTTAATATAGTAAAACTATGTCTCATTCGTTCAAGTTGTAATGAGCACCTTTCTTGAGATAGGAGATCCCATAGAGTATCCAATTATATCTACTTGTCCTTTCGTGTACGCGGCTACTGCTTGTATGAATGACCGGATCTGGAATAACATAATCATTTGATTAGGTGTTACCGTGGTTTCACCTATATACTCAGATTTACTATGTAAGCCTCATGGACAGGAGGGAATACAGGTTTGCAGTTGACTGGTATTGCCTCCACTCCTACCCCTGCTTTAGAACCACTATTGCTCGCTTTCAGCGTTCTACGTAAAAGTTGAGTGCGTGGCGCATTCCGAAAGGGTCGTTTGAAGTTTGTTAAGGCATTGAAAGTTATAGCTTGAAGGGCTAGAAGCTCATATATAATTTGTCCCAAAACTATTGTTGTTGCACAGGCTATGAAAGGCGCTGTGCAATGTGGTGGCAGCAACTAGAAGCCACCCACCACACGTACTTAAGAGGTCCAATCCTAACCAACCTGCGTTCGGCTCAAGCAAGCCGTTCAACCTTCCAAGATGGGGTAGTTGGAACTAAACGGACCTGGATAGGTTAACATGCTGAATAGGTAAGCACGCTGGTTTATGCCTTAGCTGCCCCTACCCCGTATGTCATTACGCAAAATCACATTCAAAAACCTCGTTGAGAGTGGAAGAAGAATCCTTGGAACATGTAGGAATAAGGAATTGATCATGCTAGGGGCTGAACTCTATAGAATACTATACAGTGCTGAAGCCAGGAGCATTATAACTATCAGAGACACGCTGTACCCTAACCTTCTTCCACATGGAGGGTAGTGGGACCGTAGCTGCAGTACCGCGTCTCTTTCTCTGCTCAGAAGTGCGGGGCCAAGGTTAAAAATACTCGTAGCCTTCACTGCTCACTCACTCTGCCGCAAGGCCAGCTAAATACCTAGCTGTAGCCAAAAGCCCCATTAGTCTGCGCCGTGTCACTTCCAGGTGTTCTCTATCGCTGAGTGCGAGTTTCGCCACGGGAACCTTAGTATCGCCGCAACCGCTGCACACTGCGGATAGCGCGGGTGGACTCGGGGACGAACCCCACAACTACTCTACAGCTCCGTTCTGCACTTTCGAGTAGATAAAAAAGCACGTTAGTGAAGCAGTGGAGCTGTTCACCTCGCTTCCTTTTTCCTCCTTTTTTCCAGTGACTCCGCCTCCGGTTATTCCATCTCGCACATGGGAAGCACCAAGATCCACAGAGGTGATTGTACAGTTTGTTTTCAAGAAGGAGGCAAAAAAACTCAGAAGTATTGACATAAAGCAAGATCACTGACACCACCTGCTTGACGTGCTCGCATTTCAGGCTGTCCTGATATAAGAGAGTCCTTTCGCCATTACCATACGTTGTCCCATAGACATCCGATTTATTCCATCCTGTCTGTAATCGTTGGCGCTACTCACCCTTTACTGCACCATCATTCAAATTTCAGACCGGATTTTGATCAAAAATTGAGGTTGGGTTGACTTTTTCTGGATGACTCGATAGAGCAGAGCACGAAAATCCGCTATTGGTAGCTAGAACTCGCCAAGTGCTCGTGCCACAAAGTGGCGATGCCAGAACCCTCACCAGGGAGACACCAAATATGCTGAAATTGCCCCAGAGTTTGACGCTTGATTACGAAAATCACTGTAAAAGTGTCTGGTACGAGTTCTGCAGGCGCCGGCGCTGAAACCGTGACACCGATGCTTATGGCGCTGTCGTAGGCGCTTTTCGCTTCCTTCGGAGATTGGAGCCCGGCCAAGATTCGACCAAATCTACTGCTGAAGTTTCTTTCGATAAAAAATGGACTGGTTTACGGAGACTGGGGCACTACACGGAAACTAGTGCCACTTTTTGAGACACTTGTGTACAACTCACATATTGGAAGCTAAAACCTGCCTTTAGAAGGTATTGCCGCTGGGCTTCGAGGGTGCCTGCGCTGCCAGCAAGCCCATGAACGAGCACGACGCTTTGTTTCCTGAAAGTGTTTCCTGAAACTCCACGTTTTCACACATTTTTCGATTTTTTTAAGCTTTCGCTTCTACACGAATTATTTTTGTATTTATTCACATCTATGTTTGCACCAACGTTAGTTGTGAGCCGAGGAACGTTCCGAGAGATAAGAAAATACCTGTTTTCTCCCACTGGTGGAACATCTCCACCTCCGAAACTTGCGTGACGACCGATGTCATTCCTTGTCATTCGATCAGCGAAGTCCTAAAATTCAATTTTAAGATGATACACTGTGACACAATGACACTTCAGACAACCTTTGGGCACAGGGCACGCCATCGCGTTGTGATCGTTTCCCGAAAAATGCGACCTTCCCTAATTCCATCCTCAAATGCGACCCCCCTCCCCATGCTACCTACCACTTTCCTAGATTTTCCCAACTTCCTACCACTGTTTCCCCATTTTTTCCCAGAAAATTTCCAGGTTTTTCAGTCAAGAATTTGCCATCGCGTAGGGGGGCGGGGTATATACCCAGTGTGAAACAGGAAAATTTCTCAGATTTTCCCCCAGTTTTCCGGAAACTTCCCAAAAAATTTTGGTTTTTCCCCAAAATTTTGCTGTCGAGCAGGGGAGGGGAGGGGAGGTCGTCAGGATTTAACTATCATTTTCAACTATCGGAAATAGTAGTTGTATAGATCTTTGGCAGTCCCTCTCCCAACAACGACCAAATACGACCCCCCCCTCCTCCCTCGCGGTCAAATACGACCCCCCATTGTGATCATCACAACGATGGCGTGTCCTGCTTGGGCAGCTTCAGGCTCAATGCGCTTTCAAGCGCAGCAGTACGCGTTGCTGCACTTTAACGCGAATTGTTGCTTGTTTTTGTTGTTGTTTGTTCAAGCGCGTCAAAGCGCTTCAGCGCGCTACAGTTTAAAGCCCGCGCAGCACTTCCAAACTGCTCCCCCGAAACCTCAAAAAATTTTTGCTGAAACTCTGACTACAGGGGTAATCCGGAGCCCTGATTACGAATATGACATTACCTTTTGGCCGTGGCGCCATCTGGTGCCATTAGGCTTGTCGCCACCATCTTTCTCACCAAAATTGATGAAACCCTGTATACGGGGTTAATTGACATGCTGATCACGGAACGGCATTAATTTTTCAAAATGCCAAATAACCCCCATATATGGGTTTTCATTGACTTGGTGATCTGGGTGTTTTCCTGTGACGCGCACAAGGCGGCTCCGAGCTAACCGGCTGTGATAGCCTTGTTCAGAGGTTATGCTACCCCTAGGGGCGAAATTTCGTCATTTTTGATGATTTCGGGTGTCTTGGCGCGGGCGCCAGCCGGTTTCGGGCCAAGCGGATGTGATATCATGTTCAGGAGGTCTCTGGAGTAGGAATAGTACGAGGGGTGCGCTCCTCCAGCCCAGTCGCCGTGCAC